TTTTCTAAGATCTAATTTTGCAGGTTTAATAATTTTACAGCATATATTTTTATCCCAACACCTGATTCTTAATGATTTATTTAAAACTGGACACCACCAAGTAAAGGGAATTCTACAGTTTCTTTCCCATATACTTAATTTATCCCAATCATATAATTTCCCATTAATACCAACCATTCTCTTGCCATTAATATAATCTCCAGTAAATGATGTTTGCCAACTTACATCATGTTTTGGACGTCTCCTAGGGAGATACCAAATTTTTCCTTTCCCCATTTTGTATCCCATATATCCATTTACCCAGATGGTCGGGAGAGGATGGAAATTTCCTTTTTGAAATAACTTCACGCATTTAGGCTGCAGCTCATATTTAGTCATGAGCGGTGCTTTTGGAACATATGTTGGTGTGGTCAATTTATCATAATGGGATAATTTTAAATTGTCCAATTTACTTGGATCCTCTGTGGGAATGTTTAGTTCAATGACTGCAAAATCATTTGTGTTATTTTTATAATCTTTTGGGAATTCAGAGAACTGCCACGCTAACCAAAATATCGAAAGAGAAAGCAAAAGCAGTACCACGAAGCCGAGGCAGTAGCCCTTACGGCCGTGGCAAGTGCTTGTAGCTGTGGCCTTGCCAACAGCTCTCCCTCCGGTGGCCTTGCCAACTCAAAGAGGGCAGCCCAAGCTGATTCCTTTTGGATCCTGCCATGGTGTGGACCGCGCCACCTAGGCTTCACCTGATATGCCCATCCTTAACTAATGTCCATGGCCATAAGGTGGGCTGGACTGATGAGCTTAAGTCCCACCCAAACCTAACCGCTAGGCTGAGAAGAGAAATTTCTCCAAGGAAATCCAGAATTATTATTCCTAAAACAGGGAGGGCTGTATGCTGAGCAAGGAATAGCACCTGTCACTACACCAGTACCCTCCAGATTTTCTAGTAACACTTCTATGATCCCTTCACTCCCCTCTTCTTTGAAAACTTTATTTCATCTGGGTAGTTAGAAATCATTGTTTTGGTGTAAGAAGTGATCAAGTTATTATTTTCTAAATTACTAGGCAGTGGTTATAACACCATTTATCTTTACCCTGATGATTGAAAATGCCATCTTTATCATAAGGTGTTGAACATTTTTAATGTTATCTAGTTCTAATGCACTCTGGTTTAGTTGTGTGAAAGTGCTCTCTGTACATTTACCCCCAACCCCAAATGTTCTGTTGTAGAATAAACAACTAGAGGAAGTGAAAAGAGAAGAAAGGGAATTACTGGAGGCTCAGTCTATTCCCCTGAGAAACTATTTAATGACCTATGTTATGCCGACTCTTATGCAGGGTCTAAATGAGTGTTGTAAGGTCAGGCCGGATGATCCTGTTGATTTTCTGGTAAGAGATTTAATTTTTTAAAAAATATCAATTTGAAAATAAAATATGCTGGATTCTTAACAGAAAACCAGTTGAGATAGAGAAACTGTGTATCTGGTTATGTGGGAAATAGCTTCTAATACATTCACAGTTTATAATAAAATTTTTATTATTCATTTGAAAATAAAACGTGTACTTTTATCTATGTTTTTAAATTTATTTTTTTAATTTTACATGTTTATGGGATACAGTTTGTTGTTTCAATAATGCATATATTGTATAATGATCTAATCAAAATAATTAGCATATCGGTCACCTAAACATTTATTGGGTTTTTTTTCTTTTTTTTTTAAATATTATTTCTCATCTTTTACATTTATCATTTCTTTGTGGCTATAACATTCAAGATCCTCTTTTCTGGCTATCTTGAAATATATAATACAATATCATAAACTATTGTCAACCTAGAGCACCAGAACTCATTCTTCCTGTATAACTGGAACTTTGTCACTTTGTACAGGCCACCAACCTTTCTGGCCCCCCTCCCCCTCCCTTTCCCTGCCTCTGGTAACCACTGTTCTACTCTCTATTTCTCCCTTTTTTCCCTGTCTTTTAAATTTCTTCTTCTTTATTGACCCATGATAATTGTATGTATTTATGGAGTACATATACTTTTATTTTTAAATTGTATACACTAATAGCACAAATATATGACTAATAATATCTTGTAAATTGCTGACTTGTCTTTCTTTTTCCCTTTCAATTGTAGGCAGAATACCTCTTCAAGAACAATCCTGAAATGCAGTGAAGCTTTAAGGAATTTATATCATATAGCTTTACAAAGTTAGAGATCAACTTAACATTGTAATTTGAAAAGTTGCTTTTAAAAATGCTTTTCCAGCTTTTGGAAAATTCTCTTTTTTCTGTAAACGAATATTCTATAAAATAGAATCATATAAAAACTCTATATGACAATGAATGACTACTTCATTAAAACTGTGTTTGAAAGGTAAATTGAGGCATCTGTGCGTAAGCCGTGGGACAAATATTGATTTACTATTCTATTCTTAGGTCAGTTCTAAGTATTTTGCCTCTGCACACTAATGTTTATAGTAATTTAATTTATAGCATGAAGAAAATCAGTCTATATATTATTCTAACATGTAGGCTAACAAATTTACACAATGGGTCATGGCCCCAGTACTAATGGTGTTAGAAATGGAAATAAATTAGAATGGTTTATGCTTTGTTGAGTTGCAGTAAGTCAGACATGATTGGTTTCTGCAAGACTGCTTTTGAGTTCAGGATCAGGATCCCTGCTGAGGAGTCAGAACTGTCAACCTTGTGGTAGAAAAATTCATTTAACAAGATAAATAATTCTGATATTGGTGATAATTAGAAAATTGTTGAATATTTTCAACAAACTAAATTTATAACATAGTCATAAGCTATCAATCTCTATGTCTTTTCTAGCTCTGAAAATCATGTAAAATTCCTAGAATTACCCTGAACGAGAAATTAGTTTAGGTTTATTTTAATGGCATATATATTTCACCCCTTTAAATAATGTAATATGAATATAACTGCACTATTTTTTTCATTGTGGTAAAACACACGTAAAGTAAAATTTATTTACCATTGTGATGATTTAAAAGTGAAAATACAGTTCATTGGCACAAGGTAGATTCACAATGTTGTGCACTTACCACCACTATCCAGTTCCAGAACATTTTCATCACTCCAGATGGAAACTCCGTACTCATTCAGTGGAAAATAGTCACTTCCCATTAACCCCTCTCCCCAGCTCCTAGTAACCAGTAATCTGCCTGTATGGATTTGCCTGTTCTGAATATTTTATGTAAATGGAATCATACAATATGTGGCCTTTTGTGTCTAGCTTCACTTGTTGATGGACATTTGGGTTGTTTCCACCTTTTGACTGCTGTGACTAGAACTGTTATGAACAATGTGTACGTGTTCTTGTCTGACACCTGTTGTTAATTCTTTTGGGTAGATGCCTAGGAGTGGAATTGCTGTCATATGGTAATTCTATGTCTAACTTATTCAAGAATAGCCAAACTGTTTTCCCACAGTGGCTGCTTTATTTTACATTCCCACCAGCAGTGCATGAGGGACTCTAATTCTCTGCGTCTTTACCAGCATTTACTATTTTGTGTGTGTGTGTGTGTGTGTGTGTGTGTGTTTATGGTGATCCTAGTGGGTGTGAAATGATATCAGCATTTACTATTTTGTGTGTGTGTGTGTGTGTGTGTGTGTGTGTGTGTGTTTATGGTGATCCTAGTGGGTGTGAAATGATATTATATTGTGACTAAGCATCTTTTCATGTTGCTTGCTGGCCATTTGGGTATCATCTTAGGAGAAATGTATATTCCAGTTCTTTGCCCACTTTTTATTTGGGTTGTTTATCTTTTTGTTGTTGAATTGTAAGAGTTCTTCATATATTCTGGATATGAGACCCTTATCAGATATATGACTTGCAAATATTTTCTCCCATTCTGTGGGTTGTCTTTTCACTCTGTTGATTGTGCCCTTTAATGAACAAAAGTTTTTAATTTTGAGGAAGACCAATTTTCCTATTTTTGTTTTTATGTTTCACTGCATTATTTTTGACCCTTACATTTTAATTGAAAATACCAAGTTATGGCTGGCCAGTTATCTCAGTTGGTTAGAGCATTATCCTGTAGCACCAAGGTCAAGGGTTTGGATTTCTGGACCAGTCAGCTGCCAAAAGGAAAACAAACAACAAAAAGAAAATACCAAGTAAATAAAGAGAATGCATTTTCAACCGTTTGAAATTTTTAGTCTTTATAGTTGTTACATTTTTATGCCTTCATTTTATGACCCTGCTTCTTAGTTCACTGAAAAAAACCTCAAGCAATCAAAAGAGGGTTTCTATATTCTCTCACTACCAACTTAACTCTGCCTTCACTTCTGCTGCACAGGAAAACTGTCTGTGCTGCTGTTTAAGGTCAACCCCAGCTTGTGCCCTGGATCTTGTGCCTTCTCACATAATTAGATTCTGCTCCTATAATTGACCCCTCTCTCTCTTGTAGCCTAACTCTTCTCTCACTTCTGGATAATCACCCTTAGCTTTAAACAGATGTACTAGCTTTCATACTCCGATATAAAACAAGACAAAAACAAATTAAAATGCAAAACCTTTCCTAGACCTCCACATCGTCCTCCAGCTATGGTCCCAATATTCTGCTCCCCTTCATAGCAAGGTTACTAGTGAGCTCCACACTTCCAAATCCAATGGTCAATTCTCAGGCCTCCTCTTACTTGGCTTCTCAGACCCTCTGACACATTCTATCATTTCCTCCTGGAAATACTTTCTTCCTTCCTTCCGAATGTCTAATAAGCATGTCAGACTTTAACACGGCCAACTCCAATTCCTGATCACCCTCCTTCCTGCCCTCTACCTACCACTTGCCCTCCTATCTTCCCATCTCAGTTACTGGCAACTCCATCCTTCCAGTTGCTCAGGCCCAAAACCCTAGAGTCATCCTTGACTTTTTTCTTTTTCTCTTACCCAAATCCTGTTCATTAGTGCATAATATTGGCTCAACTTTCAAAACATATTCTCAATCTGTCTGCATCTCATCCTTCCAACACGACCACCTGGTCTAGGACATCACCATTTCTCACCTGTGTTGCTGCTGAGGCCTCCTCAATTGCCTGGCTCCTTCCTGTGACTACTCTCAGCAGGTCAGCCAGAGGAATCTCGTTAAAAGAGAAGTTAGATCATCTCAAAGCTTTTAAGTTCCTTCCCGTCTCACTCAGAATAACACGAAGTCCTGACCTGGGCCTGTGAGACCCGAACTGACCCCTCATGACCTCACCGTCCCCCTCACTTTACTCCTTACTGCCAAGTATACTCTGGGGACCTTTGCCTGGAACACTCTGCCCACACATACCCACATGACTCCCTTTCACTTCATACAGGACTCAGCTCAAATATCATCTCAGAGAGGGCTCCCTAGATCATCCTTTCTGTGGTACACTACTCTGTTCCTTTTCTCTGCTCACATTTTATATCATTTTATATGTCCCTGTGTTTACTATCTATCTCCCCCACTAGTTGTAAGCTCCATGAAGGCAGGGACTCTGTTTTGTTTTCTTGTATCTCTAGAGAATAAAAAAGTACACAGTACATGGTAGGGGTTTGTGAAGTATGCATAAAACCAACGTACTTCACAGGGCCTGGTTTTCCAAAGCCTTGCAGTTTCAAATATTGACCTAGCAAAGGACAGGAAATTTTCCCCAGGCTATATAGTCTCTGTTGTAAGATTAAAGAATTGTAACAACAGCAAGGTTGCTGGTTCAAAGACAGACAGGTTACTGATTGATATGCAAAGATACTGGGAAATTGCTATAAGAAGAGAATATTTGCTAAAATCAAGCTTTTGTTAGTGGATCAACTTAACTGCATTATAGAATGTCACCTTGCTTGTCTTACTGAATGTTACCAGCTTCTATTGTTAAACTTGTTAAACTGTACTTAGAAAAAAACTCCACCTATGTTCTCTTCCTGTAACTTCCTAGTCTGGAGAATAAGTGCGGGAAGAGAACCCCAATTCATGGTTAATTTCCCAAATGGAAGGAATGCCTCTATCTTGAGGGTTCTGGGAGATTAACCCCTTTTTGGGGCTTCTCACTGCTCAGAAGAGATGGGCTTTGAGTAATCTTTGGAGGCTCCATCACCCAGGGGGAAAGGGGTGACAAATCTGTGGGAGGCAAAGGAACAGGGGTTCAACTTAAGTGCTATTTAAATTTAATTTAAATGAAATTTTGTCATACACCCATGGGTTTTTAAAAATAATTAATTCAAATCTCCACTTATTCAATAAAGTCCATAATCTATTTACATTTCCATATGGGTGTGATGGGACACTTAAGGACCTCTGAGGATCCCCAAGATGCCACATTAAGTGACATTAATCTTGGCAAATTCACCATGAAATCTAACCCTCGGCTGTGCAAGTTAAGAAGAGGGCTTTCAGCAGTATCTCAGGACAGATAGGACCCTGAGATAGGACTTGTCTTCACTGATTTCCCAAGAGATGTGGAATGAAGACACAGTACCAATTTATTTACAATGAGAAACATAATTGTCAAGTGAGTTAATACTTGCAGCCACTTCACCAGTATATTCCCTTCTTGGAAGCAGATTCTATGAGAAGGCAAGTGACCAAGAAGTGCTTGGGAACACAAAACCAGGACAAGGCACGAGCCTCTGCTAGTCTGATATATACATCCCTGCCATACCTGACAGGTGGCACAGTCCTTCCTGACAGGTGCACTTTTACAGACACCATTTGGATAGGCAGTGATAATTTTTACCTGTGTGACTTTCCTTGAAATATTCCCTCTTCAGATCTATTAATATATTTACTCTTTCAGGTTTTGTAACTTTGGGCACATTTACTCCCTTTTAGGCAACTTTTCATGTTTCTGGTTTGATCCATTAAATGTCACTTTACAATTGCGCTTTCTGAAGGCCCTGAAGGCAATCCTTTTTTTTTTTTTTCTCTCCAAAAACTGAACAAGCCAGCCTGTCACTGCTAAATATCCTTTCTATATTCCTATATTTGGATACACATCTTCCTATATTACTGAAAAGAGCTGGTATCATTTATAAGAAAATAGGAATAATCTAAGGAAGATGTGTAAGACCTTTACACTGAAAATTACAGGATATTGCTGATAGTAATTAAACATGAAATAAATGGAGAAATGGAGGGATAAACCATGTTCATGTTTTGTAAAGCTCAGTATTGTTAATACTTCAATTCTTCCCCAAGATGATATGTAGTCAATGCAACTCCAATCAAAATGCCAGCTCCTTCTTTCCTTCCTTGCTTCCTTCCTGCCTTCTTTCCCTCCTTCCTCACTTCCTTCCTTCCTTTTTGGTGGAAATTGATAATCTGATTCTAAAATGTATATAGCAATGCAAAAAACCTAGAATAATCAAGAAAATCTTGAAGAACAACAACAAACCTGAAGGACTTACCTGTCCAGATATCAAGACTTATAAAGCTACAGTAATTAAGACACATACAGATCAGTGGAACAGAGGAAGGAGTCCAGAAACAGATCCACACATTTACAAATACCTGTTTTATAGCAAAGGCATCATGGCAGTTCAATGGGGAAATTATGGTCTTGTCAATAAACAGTGCAAGTCACTGTAGAACCACATTTTTTTTTTCAAAAGATGACTGGTAAGGGGATCTTAACCCTTGACTTGGTGTTGTCAGCACCACGCTCTCCCAG